TTTTAATCGTGATTGTTAAATCGTGATAATCTTTAATTGTTTTTAATCATGATTGTTAAATCATGATAATTTTCAATTGTTTTTAATCATGATTGTTAAATCATGATAATTTTTAATTGTTATTTCTAATTATTTCTAATTGTTTATTTCTAATTGTTTTTAATCGTGATTGTTAAGTCATGATAATTTTTAATTGTTTTTAATTGTATGAATGTATAATTTACCAATTTAATCGATACACTAATCATTGAAATGATTTAAATTAAAATGTAAAAAGCAGTTCATATCGTCGTTTCCTTCTTTCTTTTTTTTTTTTCAAGATACGATTTTATCAGTCAAAAATCATGATTTAATTAATATCAATGATAACTGATAATAATTATCATATGTTTTTCATATTTCAGGAGAATAATATTGCCAGTAATAATACACATGTAGAATTGAATTCCTCAGCAAATTCAATGAAATCAATTTTAAAAAAGCGTGATATCCATCAAAATGGTACATCATCACCGATGATTCATCGTAGTGGATCAAATTCCGCCGATGTATAAATATAATTTTCTTTTTTTTTTTCTTAAATTAAAATTATCATTGAAATTAGTTAGCTATTAATTATTGTGAGAAAAGAGAAAAGAAAAAGAGAGCGGAAGAGGAAAAAATTTTAGAAATTCCTAAAATAGATATAATAAACTTTCATTTAATATGTAAATTTATAAAAAATTATCTCACCTGTAATCCTTGTAATTTCTAATTAAGCCTTAATTAAAGTTTAATTATTGCTACAATTTAGAAATGAACAACAATTAAAGCTGAATTTAACAATTTTGCAAGGCATTATAGATGTATTGCAAATTTGCAATTGCATTGCATTTGCATGCACTATCATTAATAATATTAGCATGTGCAACACTGCATGCACTTGTATTGAGCCACTAGGCTTTTAATATTAATAGGCAATGATAATTTTTACAAAGAAAAAAAATTTGTTAAATTAAAATTATAATGTTTTAATTAAATTTTATTTATTTACTTTTTTTTTTTTTTTAAGGACTGGTCATCTAATCGAGCTGCAACACCAGCATTCCCGGTACGTCGTGAAACACCTCAACCATTTCATCCACTTTTATTTGAGGGTGCAAAAGATGTTATGCCACCTGTACAATCAATTAATAACATCACTTACAGGTTATCATTATCTCACTGATAATAGTATTTAAATTTACTCAATTACTCACTAAGCTTATAGATAGTAAATGTTTACAATTATACAATATAGATATATATATGTAAGAAAAGTATACAGATTAATATCATTGAATCTTGGAATTCTTTTCAAATTTGAAATTAAATTTCAAGTAAAAATTTTTTTTTTGATAAAGTTATTAAAAATTGAATAATTTCTCTTTCTACCATCCGTTTTCTCCCCTATCTTTCAAACTTTTTCTCTTTTTACTTCATTTAATTTTAAATTTTAAATAAATTTTAAACAACCCACTTTTTCCTTCCCAAAAATAATTGTATCATTTAAATTTTATTAATTAACATTAATCAATCATATGTGATACTTGATTAAATTTACATTTTGTTTCAGTTAATTATTATTTGAAATTTAGTTTCCAAAAAGAAAAAATTGTTTGAAATTATTATAACTATTTGAAAAATGAAAAAATTAATTATTATTGATAATTATTTGAAATTTAATTTTAAAAAACCAAATTTTAGGTCTCCATCACCACGTTCTGTTTATTATGCACAGAGTCATCGTACATCAATTTCTTCAACTGGTACGTCCATCTTCATGCATTTCCTATTTT